ATTAATGCACAAATATCATTGTCAGTGTACATTTCTATTAATGCATAAATGTTTAAGTTTATCATTTCTATTAATGTATGTATAGCCACATAGGATGATGCACGATTACGTGTAACCATTATTCTTCATCTATTGTATAATGTACAAATGCCATTTTCAGTATTTCATTTCTTTTAATGTATAAGTGTTTAAGTGTATCATTTGTTCTAATAATATATGTATATTCATGTAAGATGATACATGATTATGTGTAATCATTGATTGTCATCGTTCACACTGATACACAATTATCATTTTCAGTGTATCGTTTATCTCAACATATAGGTGTTCAAATCATCATTTTTATCGATTTGTGCATAGCCCAGTAGAATAATACATGATTATGTTTTTTTCATTTATCATTATCATTCATATTACTGTGCAAGTGCCACTGTCATAATATAATTGCTATTAATGCATAAGTGTTTATATATTTAATTTCTAGTAGTTTATATTATTTCTATACAGGATGATACATTTATATTATTTCTATACAGGATGATACACGATTACGTGTAATCATTATTTGTCATTTACGGCATTAATGCACAAGTAACATTTTCAGTGTATCATTTCTTTTAATGTATAAGTGTTTATTGTTGCCTATCTCATTTACCACTTAGGCCAAAGTATACAGTATATATCCAATGTACCTTACCACTTAGGCCAATGTATATATATATATGTGTATTCAATGTACCTTACACTTAGGCCAATGCGTATATATATCCAATGTAACTATGACAGCCAATGTACCTAAGTACGCTAATTTTTATTAATTGAATATTGAAGCATAAATGAAAATGCCCTTGTTTGGCCACATAAAAATTTTATATTCAGCATTAATAAATTCCCAATGCAGTTCTTGAGGGATATGTTGTTCTAGATAGGTGCAGGTACTGGACAACGGCTGATTTGTCGCCGTCCGCCCCTGCATTCACCTGTCTATCCCTTCATAAGAGGCAACGGTGGCCACATATTACATGCCTTCACAATAAATGTCCACATTAGGAGAGTCCAATGCTGAATACACAAGTATCTGCCATTTGATATACATAATTAAAGGGAAGCACAAAGAAGTTGACAGAATTTTATAATTAAAAAATCTGATGTGTACACCACATGACTTCCTTGTACGGAATATTAAATTATACTCATTTCTTCTTGCATTTTATTTAAACTTATCTAAACATCTGTTTTGAGGGTAACTACAACAAGGGCATTGTTATCATTTGGTAAGTGTCTCTAGAAGGACTGTGAATGGGAGCAAGAGCAGTTACGATTATCTTGCCATTCGGTTTTTATTGTTGAAACAGAAATGTTTCTGTTGTAAAATAAATTACACCTTCTGGCACTTTCGAGAGAAGAAGCTGCAGAAGCTAACCTTACTGTGTGAAAAAGAAAATGATTGACATCTTTGCTTTATTTTTGTTTTTGCTAAAGTCACAACTGACTAAGAAGGGCGCTGAGAGAACTCTTTTTGGACTGTAATTAAAAGGGCAGGATTGACTTTATTTCTTTGTGTTGAGAACCCCTTGTTTTCGGATGTTAACGGAGATCAAATGTTTCTCACATGTTTGACTCATTACTGGGAGGAGGGGGTGATCATGATGACAGACTTTGTTTATGGCAGTTTTTTTCAATTGATACGAGGGGGAAATTTCCACATTACATTGGTCAGGCATAAATTCTATGTTTCCTTTCAGCCTATGATATTTGGATGGGTATGGGGACCAAATTTTATGGAGGGCTGCATGAGAGTAGAACTCAGAATTGATCTAGATTTTGAAAAGAGAGAAAAAGAAAAGAGAAGTTAGGCTTTAGCTTTGCAAGGGAGGGATGGCTGAGCCTCCAGCCGGCTTTCTGGTGAATAAGAATGTTGATGTGGTATATCTTTGTAGCCATCCTGGTCATGAGAAAACCAGAGTTCTGAAGATAATAAAAGTATGACAGTTATTCCCCTAACCTATGAGATGGGCCTTTTTCCTTACGTCAGCAGTTACAAGTCCAGTTCCCCCCAAATATGTTTACTACCCTGAAAAATTTTCGTAGCTGTTATGATCACTGCAAAATTATGTGCTCTATTCTAAGCTTTGGTCTTACAGGGTGAAAAACTTAACCTTTTTAAGTATTTTGATTTGAGCCGCCCAAAGAGTATAATCGTTAGGGAAGGCAATTGCAATACCAAAGGGTCAGGGTTTGAATCCCGGAGAAGGCATGGTTGTAACTGTCCGTCCCTTTATAGGAGGCAAAGTTGGCCCACCTATTAGGTACCTCCATAATAAAGTGACTACCACTTTTGGCCTTAGTAGTGGCCAAGCTGAAGTCAGCTCAGGGCCCGGGAATGGTTAAAAAAAGTATTTTGATTTGTCCCTACAGTGGTAAGGAAAGTGCTGGAGTGATCAAAAGGGTAAGTTAGAACTACAGAAACGTAGGCCCTGGAGGGTCGTTTGCAGACTAGAGAAAAATAATGGGTCTACTGAAAGAGAAAAGACCTTTTTTGTGAAGAAGGAGACCTTTTTTCACTTCAGACTCTAGGTGTTTGTGCCAATTCAACTATTAGTCAATGATTAGCAGTCAACTGGAACACAATGGTAGGTGAAATATTATTGAACTCTAAACTAGTGGAGCAATTTCAATGTTTCCTTTAAAGGTTGAATTTCCAAATCTAAGGATTCAAGATTCAGTTATAGTATTATGTTAAGATACATACTCTAGGAGGAAAGGGAATTTAAACACTAATTATCTGTTATGGAAAGGGAATTTAAAACATAATTTATCTGTTAATAGCTTTAATATTAAAAAAATACTATTTTTTTATCTAAAGAAATACAGTCAAAAGTCGTTAATCCGGACTCGTCGGGACTTCAGCGATTCCGGATTATCGATTTTTCTGGATTATAGATCATCAGTTTAAATCTTATAAGATGGCATGCAGAAATTCTAAAATTAAAATTATGAAACCATAATTTATGAAATAAAGAACAATTATGATCTAAAGGGTATCAAAATTTACGAAAAAAAAAAAAGCTTAATATTTATTTGTTTTATTAAACATTTCTTTCAATGTAAGTTGTTTAAATTGCTTCGTTTTATGTGATAATACTTTCTTTTTAATTCTATAAACAGACATAATTTCTTGTTCAGTTACAAAGTTCCACTGTTCAAGTCCCGTAATTGCTGTGCCGAGAATACCAACTAACTTGTCAATCAAAATTTTTTCGTTTTCACTAACCTCTCTGTCACCTTCTTCATGTCTTTATCCATTTTTTGCAGCAATTCCACTTTTTGTTTGATGGACATCGAAACATACTTTCGTTTTGTAGATCCTTTGGGAGCTCCAGCATCAGAAATTCTATTTGACATAATCGAAAGTTCAAATTTACTTTTATAAAATTGCTCTTACAGTCTGCAAAAAGTAATAAGCCGGATCCAATTCGAAGATTAAGGAACAATGCAATCTGCAACATTAACTGAATTAGATAACTTTAGCTTAGCTTATACCGTCCGTTATACATTAAACGCGCACGCGAAAACATATTCTGCACTTGCGCACACGCATATGCGCAGTCGTAAAGGTCTACTGCGCACGCGTAAACGCCTATGAGCTTGTGTCAACGCGGCGCATGCGCAGAAAGTTTTTAGCTTTGAGGTCCGGATTATGGGTGCCCGAATTAACGACTGTTGACTGTACTACTATTCTATAATAGAACTTCATATGCACTCCTTACTGAAATTGAAGACATTATTCAGAAAGCAAAGTATACATACCACTGCGCAAAACTTTACAAATCAATCAAAAATTTACAAAAAGAAAAAGCTTAATATTTATTTGTTTACTTTATTAAACATTTCTTTCAATGTAAGTTGTTTAAGTTGCTTCATTTCATATGATAATACTTTCTCTTTAATTCTATTAAACAGACATAATTTCTTGTTTAGTTACAAAGTTACGCTGTTCAAGTCCTATAATTGCTGTGTCGAGAATATCGACTAATTTGTCAATCGAAATTTTTTCGTTTTCAGTAACCTCTGTCACTTTCTTCACTATCGAAAGCAAATTATAATGACGAGGAACTTACTTTAAATCATATTAAAGACTGAGTACATCGAGATGAAATACTACATTTAGTAAGGAATTATAAGCCAAATAAAATAAAGACATCTGCCCTGAAGATAAGGATAGTGCTGACAGATCAACTTCCAATTCATTGCGCGCCACGGCATTCCCCCCGCCGAGCAGCATGAAATTGAGAAACAGATTTCGGATTTCGAAACATACTTTCGCTTTAGATCCCTTAGATATTAGCAAATATATATCGGAAATTCTATTTGATATAATCGAAAGTTCAAGCTTACTTTTATAAAATTGCTCTAACAGTCTGCAAAAAGTAATAAGCCGGATCCAATTCGAAGATTAAGGAACAGTGCAATCTGCAACATTAACTGATTTAGATAATTTTAGCTTAGCTTATACCGTCCGTTATACATTAAACACGCATGCGTAAACGTTTTATGCGCACACGCATATTCGCAGAAGTATAGGTCTTACGTGCACACATAAATGCCTATGCGCATGCACCAACGCGATGCATGTGCAGAAAGTTTGTAGCTTTGAGGTCCGGATTATAGATCATTCCGGATTATGGGTGTCCGAATTAACGACTTTTGACTGTATAAGGTTTTTAGAAACATGGAAATCTACTTACTTGGGCTTACTTATTGAACACAAAGCATGTATAAAATATGTACCAGCAACGTATTGCTTTTGTACGATTTATTGACAAGCTGAAGTCAAATATTATATCTAAATTCTTTATTCATAATTTATCTGTTAATAGCTTTAATATTAAAAAAATACTTTTTTTTTATTTAAAGAAATACTACTATTCTATAATAGAACTTCATATGCTCTTATTACTGAAATTGAAGACATTAATCAGAAAGCAAAGTATACATACCACTGCGCAAAACATCAGTTTTGACTTCAAGAAACTCTTAAAACAAAAAAATAGCCTGAAAAAAAAATTCTGTTAGATACATGAAATACTCTTCAAAAGATATAGATAAAATATTTAATAAATGTTTATACCACTTTAGCAGATTTCTACAGATTGAAATAAACTCTATGAAGAATTAAAGACTGAAAGTTTTAAGCCTTAACATAGCAGTAATATAGACAAAAAGTAACAATGGGCAGTTTATAAAACTTCGTCACAATAACAGATGTTCTGACTAATGAAAATAAAAAATTTGAAAACCTTTAGTGGCAAAAGTAATTTAAAAGATATACAGTACAAAGTCCGTAATCCGGACTCGTCGGGAAATTTGCGATTCCGGATTAAAGGTTTTTCTGGATTATAGCTCGTCAATTTAAATCTGTTAAGATGGCATGCAGAAATTATATAATTAAAAATATGAAACCGTAATTTATGAAATAAAAAGCAATTATAATCTAAAGGATATCAAAATTTACAAAAAAAAAAAAAAAAAAAAAAAAAAGGCTTAATATTTACTTGTTTAGTTTATTAAACCTTCCTTTCAATGTAAGCTGTTTAAGTTGCTTTGTTTTCTGTGCTAAACGCGCATAAGTAAACATTAAACGCGCATGCGTAAGTTTGTGGCTGAGGTCTGGATTATAGATCATTCCAGATAATGGACGTCCGGATTACAGTTTTTGTAATGTATATATATATATTTTAAATTACTTTTAATGTTATTATTTTGTACATTTATATATACATATATACAAAACACGTTTTTTGAAAACAAAATATTAAGCTTAAAGCATGAAAATTCACACTTTAAGCTGCAGAAAATTATCATTAAAGGCATAAAGTAAGAAATTTAGAACTAATGTTTCACAAAGACGAACATTTTGAAATTCATATTTAATAAATTACAAATAATCTAATAAATGCAATAAAGAATTTAAATAAATGTAAAAACAAAACCTTTTAAACAATCAATACACCAATTAAAAAAAATCTTTAAAGAAATTAAAAGTAAAAGAGCGTAATAGAAAAGTTACTTAATCAACTTCAATGCCACTTCAGCAGGGGAAAGGAACACTGAAATCAATTGAAATCTTTCTTCTACAAAAATCCTTGCTTTTCTGTATCCAGAATTAGCCGTTGAACCATTTTCAATTTTTTTTTTTTTTTTTCTAATTATAATAATTTCCCTGAAAATTCTCTTTCTTCCTCAAAGCAAGGTAAAAAAATTAAATTAGAACTTGTAATAAAGAAAATTTTATTTTGTTTAAAGAACTGAAAGCGAAAGTGAATAATTAAAATACCTCAATGAAAAAAGATAAATTAAAATTTTACTTTTAAACATATATCACATAATCCAAGTATTTAACTTTACTGAAATTATAAAACTTATGTAAAAAAATTCAATTAGAACTTGTACTTTAAATAAAGAGAATTCTGTTTTGTTTTAAGAATTCAAACCAAAAGTAAAAAATTAAAATTTTACCTTTATATATATTACCTAATCCAACATTAAAAAACAAAGGATTAATTTTAATTAATATACATTTAACACCTGAAACTCTTAACTGAAATTAGTAAAAAGCATTTTTTTATTATTCATCACTTTTAAAATAGAAATATGAAGCTTTAATCTGTTTTTGCACAACTGTTCCAAATTTTCTTTCTTCCAATAAGCAATCATTATAATTTTTTATAATACGTTTTCAGATATTTTCTAAGGAAACATACATTTTAAAACACTGCATGGATTATCTCTTTTACCCCAGATTATTACTCTACAGTTTACCTTGGATTCTATGTGAATTCTGCTAAATATGAATGCAACTTTCTTTGAACCAGTTCTAAGTTCTGATTCTAACAAGTCTGCAAGAAATTTTCCATAATATTCCATTACAATTGCATATTATTGCTGGATTTCCACTATATCTATGATGTACATTTTCACTGTGAAAAATTGGAACACTTGAGAATATTGGAAATAATGGGAGAGCTTATGCTTCCTTTGAGGGTAAATCATACCACGCAAAATGCAACATAGAGTAACATAAACAGAAAAATATATTACCTCCCCAAGATCTTTCCATGGAAAAACAATTGCTAAAAAAAATGACACAATCCAGATGTGCACTTAACTGATCTGAAGATTTATCTAAAAAAAAATAACTTTCCCATTCTTTTGTAAGAGCAGAAAATGAGAGAAAGAAAATATTAAAACGAAGGGCATAAAAATTTCATCTTTCTAGAAGAAACCAAAAAGCTTCTAGTGTTACTGAATACTCAGAGGAATCAGAATGGCATTTCTAGGCAATATATCTAAGGGTTACCAGCTAATACACAAAAAAGGAGAAAAATCAGATAAAAGCCTGGAATTCTGGAACTATTCTTTGAAGCCCTTGAGCTCCCACCATTTATAAAGAATGAAAAAGAAAATCTTGCTCAAACTCTGTACTCCCTGGCTAATATACAACAGATGACCAACAGCAGTGTTTCATGCTCATAGCAAAACTAATATGACATCAAAATCTGGTGTCCTCATCCATTGTAGTGGCACACCATAGTATCTTACAAATGGAACGGGATAGCTTTTCTTTTATAAGTGATCTAAAGATGGAGAAAAGTCACTTAAGACACTGGTTGGTGTTGGTGTATTTAATTATGGCAAAGCACACTAGGGCTATCTGCCTAAGGGGAGAGGTGCCTTCATGGAGGACTTTCTAAGGGAAACTGGCTCGTATACACGTTACACATGGGGAGAACCACGAAAACGTCCATGCAGCCAGCCCGTTTGCGGGATTCGAACCTCGGACCGAACTACCAGTGTTCAGCGACTTTACCGCTCAGCCGCTGGTGGGCCTTAAGACATTGGAAATTGCAGTTTGAGAAGCATGCAATTCGGAAGCAAATAATTACTCTTAATAATTCTTTTAATGTAAAACAACTTTCTTGTATTTAATAGCCATCGCTTGTTCTTTACTCAAATTGATAAAAAAAATTACACTTGCAGAATTTCTAATCTGATATAATTTTCCTTTTAACATTTCTATAAACTTCTATCAGTTTCTCTGTGCTTCTAGAGACGAAAAACTTCAATACAAACTTCAATTTAAAATATATAATGCTAAACGGTAAAAAAAAGTTTCAACAAATAGTTCAGAATATATCCAAAATGATAATCACAGCTTATTTTATAAAATCAGTCATTTCAAACTGTCTCTGTAAACAGCTCTGAAGGAGTATTGAAATAAATTGCACAAACAAGAAAATAAAAAATCCATTTCATTTTTGCAAAATGTGATTTTTCAGTAAAGCATTGCCATTTTATTGCATACTTTAAATATGTTGTTGTTGCCTTATGCTTACTTGTCTGACATAGTCAACCCAAGTCCACAAAATTCCTAGTGGCAAGGAGTACTAGAATACATCTGCCATTGGCAACAGCCTTGAAGCACCTAACAGGTGACAGTGCAATTTTTCTTAGTTCTGACCCAAATTTTGATGGAAAGCACCCCGTGAGGACGGGTCCAAGTGTCTCCCCTCCTTCCACCACACCACATGAGAGGACTTTCGGCTTGCATATTTAGAGTGCCGCCATGCTGCACTGACACTATACATTTACAAACATCCCTGCCTTCTCTGGGATTTGAGCCCTGGCCCTTCAGCACAGCAGTCCACGACGCTAACCACTATACCGGTTGGGTGGCTCCTTTAAATGTAATTACTTATAATAATGTGGGTGCTCATGAAAAGCAACAAGTTCATTAATGTTCACTTTCGTTGCTACTGCTCAAGTTTAAAAAATGATCACCTGTCAGTTTCATGGAGAAATGCATTCACATATATATGTGATTTCAAACACTGAAACAGTTTTCTTCCTTAATCAATCTTAAATCAATCAAAGATGTCTTTCCATGGGATTATTTCTAAAAGTTAGCAAGTTCCTTGCCAATCACATAATTTTAGATAGGTATCCTACTTTCCTGAAATTTTATCCTTTCATAATAATAAATTTTATAAACTTAAAAGTTTAACAAAATAGGAACGATAAAAAAGGACTCGTGAATCCTATACAGCTGATAAGGGAAAAGTTAATTACCACCATTTTAATTTTAAAAAAACCTCCAAAATATTTTTTATTATTTTATTTTGTATATAGATTAGATAATATATTGTTATGAATTTGGTATTTAAAAAGCTAATATTAGTTCAATTATAAATTAATTGGTTTTATTTCTCGCGCAGTGCAGCGCGTGACGAATATTAAAAGAAAGCTAAGCCGGAAAATTGAAAATACAAGAGCGAGTGCATTAAATAAATAAATATCTCTTTTTGATTTCGAGAAAGTACTGGAAAATTCTAGCGCGTGATTTTAAAATCTTATAAAAGGAGGAAAACATCTCAGTTTGTAGTAGTTGCTTAGTTTGTTGTTGTTTAGAAAACTGCTCTTGTTGATTGTAGCGAATTCGCGGATTAGCGTTCTTTAGCTGTTTTGAATTACGTTCTATTGGACATTTGAGTAGTTAAAAGATAACTACTGTGAGATATTGTAATACTGCATGATAATTTGAGAAAATTTAAGCATTTTTGTTGTGATAATAATAAATTTTTGTTCATTTTTCATTGGACTTGTGCATTCATTTCATAACGAACCCGTACGCACGCAACAATTTTTGGTGTCAGGAGTGGGGTTTGAATGCCAATAACAAGAGCGATGGAAGAGCAATTAAGGCAGTTAATATCAGCCTTTGCCTCATTTAAAGAAGAAATGAAATTGGGCCAGGAATCCATTAAGGACGAAATGAAAGCCGTTCAAGCTGGTCAAGAAAAGATTGAAGCATGTCAAGAAGAAATGAAAAGAGAAATTACCTGCATAATAGAAAATAAATTTGAAGCTATGGAAGGCAGAATTGACACAGTTGAAAATAAAGTTGGACAAATTGAAGAAAAAGTTTCTTTCGTAAAAGATCAAATTGAAGAAAGAGTTTCTTTGGTGAAAGAAGAAATAGAAAAAAAAAGTTTCTT